GGGTCTGGGGTTTGGGGGTTTAGGGGCCTTAGGGTTTAGGGGCCTTAGGGTTTAGGGTTTGGGGGCCTGGGGTTCAGGGGCCTTGGGCTTTAGGGGCTCTACGACCCGGTTTGGGGGGTTTGGGGTTTAGGGGCGTGGTTTCTGCTCCCTCACCCTGGGGGGCTGAACCCCAAACTTGCAAAACACAGAAGACGAAGGTTCGAAAGGATTTGGCTAGTTTCAGAAAGTCAAGAGGTGCGAGGATTGCGGATTCTAAAAAAGTAGAACCACAGAAGTCTAAGTGTTATAAACTGCTATAAGGACCTAGAAGTAAGTCCTGCCAGAAACGGCTGTCAGGTTCTGCGTGGTCGGCGGAGCGGCCGGGGTTCTCATAATGGAGGCGGGGGTTAAGGGTTCAGGGCTTCTGGGGTTGCAAAGCACAGGCCCTAAATAGTGGGACCCTTATTGTCAGGGCCAGGAGAGAAGTCATTTTTGAAGCCGCCATAGTGCGGTTAATTCGTCCTGTCTGCCGCGGGTTTAGGGCTTAGGGCTAAACCCTAAACCCCGGGCCCAGGTGACGAGGCATCTGTTTAGGGTAGGATGGGGGCCTCGGTAATTAATAAGACTAGGGCCTTGGGGTTGATTAAACTGTGGTTATCATCGGGAACCCTAAGAAATAGTGTTATTGACCATGTGGAATCCCGAGGAATAGCATTATACATCAATTATATGGATAGTTGTTTGAATTAGGGTCCCTTTCAGGGTTGCTTTCATAGGGGTGCCGTGCTATTTAAGGGACCGTAATCTAGAGAACTACCTTGAGGAATGTTAGAGTTGGGCCCTACACCCTAAGCCCTAAAACCCTAAATCCCTACATCCTAGACCCCTAAACCCTGAAACCTTAAACCCCTAAACCCTGAAACCCTAAACCCCTAAACCCTGAAACCTTAAACCCTTAAACCCTCAACCTTTGCAGGCTCCCGGCGATTCTCCGGATTCGGGGCTGCCGGTGCCGGACAAACAGGGCCAGGCCTGGCTCGATAGAAGATGTACAGCAAAAGCAATATAGCACAAAAAGAATATACATATGTACCTGCGTGTGTGTGTGTGTGTGGGTGGGTGGGTGTCGATATACATATGGATATACAGACATGTATATATCTATAGATAGATAGATAGATAGATAGATAGATTAGATGGATGGATAGATAGATGGATAGATAGATAGATAGACAATATGAGATATTATAAGCGCCAGTACAGCTAGTGAGGAACATACATGGTCACAGTATGTAGAAGTTGAGCTCAAGAGACGTGACCTCGGGACCCATTGGAGTTAGGCATGCAGGCCTTACTGCACCGTACGCAGCTTAGATAACGTATATGACAAAGCCGTCTACCCACCTACTGGATTCCGTCCATCTGTCCAGCGCTGTCACCGTATCTCAGAACACATCAATAGTATATGTATGTATGACAAGATAGAAGAAGAAAAGATGAATAGAATAGTAGTATAGTATAGTTTAAGATAGCATAGTTTACACATGTGCACACAGCCTTATGTATGTGCAATTTGCATGTACATATGCATGCACATATACACACATACATTACATGCACATACATTTATGCACACACACACATGCACATAAACATACACGCCTTGCATTCATGTATGCATGCATCATGCAAGCCGTCATGCATGCATAAATACATACATACACACACATACATACATACATACATACATACATACATACATACATACATACATACACGCATCCGTACATCCACACATGCAGACAGAGATGCAGACAGACACAGACACACACACACACATGCGCACACACACACACACGCACACAGACACAGACAAACATACATACCTACATACTTCCTTACATACATACATACATACATACATACATACGTATACATGAGCATACACAAGTATGTATGTATGTATGTATGTATGTATGTATGTATGTATGTATGTATGTGTGTATGTGTGTATATATATATACATACAGATAGACTGATAGACTCCGATGTCTTCCGATGTTTGTGGTGTTTGAGAGCGCGAGGCTTCGATGGGGTTCGAAGGTTGTGATGTACGACCTTGTGTTTGTGCTCTGGGGGCCTGAATATTGATAAGGTCTCCCTGAAGGTTCCAGAGTATGTTAATGATACAGAAACCTTCGTCACCCTGGTCTGGCTGATATCGCGTGAAGCTCAGCTGGTCCTTATGACATTGGTCAAGGTTCGTGCTTTCCTTTACCTGGTACCGCCGGGACCTGGGTCCTGAAACAAACGAAGCAATGTCTTGAGACGTTGCTTCTTATGAACCCAAAAGCTGGGCTTATTGATTCTTAGGATCACTCTATTCACACTTCATTATAACCCCAAGAAAGGTACTTATCTACGAAGCGGTAAGCCAGGACCCTGATCCCAAACGCTCTGACCCTGCACTGGAACGCCAGAAAGCCCCTAACCGAAAACCCTAACAGTTTAGGGTTTAGAGCATGGAGTTATAGGATCCAAAACCCCAAAATCCTGAATCTGGGGAACCGGCCTTCCGTAAGTCGCAGACGACTAGGTCAGACGGAAAAAGATGCTGAACAGAAACATCCTAAACCCTAAACCCTAAACCCTAAAGGTTCCCCCTGACATGGGCAGGTCTACCTCTCCGAAGGGGAATCCCTCACAGATCTGGCCGCCTCCCTGCATGGGCCGAGAGTGCATTCTTTGGGGCTTGGGGGCTTTGGGTTTAGGGTTTAGGGGTTTAGGGTTTAGGGGTCTAGGGTTTAGGGTTACCTAGGGTTTAGGGTTTAGGGGGGCTTTGGGGGTTCGGCGGAGGGTTGTGGGTTTTAGTAGGGGTTTGGGCTCAAGGCTTCCATTCGAGATGGGGTCCGGAATGCATAGAGGGCTCATGGGGCTCGGGGTTGGTTCGGGGCTTCAGGTGTCCATGTATCAAGCAAATTCTTCGGGGCTTTAGGCCTTGGGGTTTCATAGGGGAGACCCTGAAATCTGCAAACCCCAGGGCCCAAAGCCTTAACAGCCACCAAACCCGGCATTCCTGCTTGGACCCTACAACACCGTATAAGCCGTGTCGTTAGGTGCCTGTTCTCTTCACCAGCTACAACGCACAGCTCTGGACGGCCCTCCTCAACGGAGAGGACTTGCGTCTCAGCAACCTCCGCTAAGGGTTTTGTTTATGAAGGTTATCCAGATTTAGATTTCTATTATGTTTAGAGCTTAGGTGTCATGGAAGTTTCCAGGTGTCATGACGGTTTAGGGTTTAGGGGGTTTTAGGGTTCGAGGATGTTGCTTTGCGGGGTATTCTGGGTTCTGCTTCAATATAGAACCCCCGAACGCCCCAATTCAGCGATGTCGTGGCTTTTCGGTTTTTGAGCACCTGAAGGGTTCTGTTTGGGATGTCCGCGACTTCCCAAAGTGGCCCTGTCCCGATCTAGGATCGACCTGGGGATCCTGGGTCGGGAAGCCCTGCTCTCAAATAGGTTGAGAGCTCTTAGGGGTTTCAGGTGTGATAGGATCGTAGGGTTTTCAAATGTCGGCCTTTAGGATCTGGGTAGGGATTGGCCAAATCCTAAACGTCTCAGACTTCGGGCAATTCTGAAAAGAGGCGGTGCCGTGACAGGAGCAACGCCTGACAGCCGGCCCTGGCGTCGGCGTGCGTCCAGCTGCTGCCCCAGCTTTACTAAAGCTGCTGCGTGCCCTTCCTTCGGTAACACGAGGAGTTTGCTGTTGTACTCGCTTTACTGCGCCGAAGGGTTCATGGAGGGTTCAGGTTCGGGTGTTTTTTCGAGGCGATAGGGAGAACACTGCACCAGGGGTCGCAAATCCTTCATGCCGCTCTTTGTTACGGGTTTCAACGGCTGCAGGGCGACTCGAAAACAGCGTAGCAGAAGGCCATAGAGACCCCGACTGCGGTACCACAGTCACCATGGGCGCTGGAGGCGACACCGTAGATAAGGAAAGTGTCTTCGCGAACTACAAGTCCGTGTTCTCGCGCCAGTTTGCCGTTTCCTTGGCCGTGGAGTTCGTGGGTGTGATGTTCTTCCAGATTCTGGGAGGCACCTCTGCCAAAGAATATGCTCCCTTTGTGAACGGCTTTGCCTTGGCCGTGTGGATCTATGTTGCTGCTAACATCAGTGGTGGTCACCTGAACCCCGCGGTGAGCTTCAGCACTGCCGTTTGTGGCTTCTACCCGGTGATTCACACGGTTTCCGGGCCAGCAGGAACAGGTTTTCTGTTGGTTTCATTGTTGTATCATCGAAACATGTCCACAGAAAAGGGGCTTCAACGGCGTTGTTAGACTGTCCCAGGTGATCTACATTGCTCTCCAAATCATCGGAGCCATCGTCGGAGCATGGGTCTCGGCGGGACTGGTGCCCGGTGCAGGCGACCTCATCGGCACTGGTGCCAGCGGCCCCGGATGCTTTGACCGTGGCACGATCGGCGAGGGCATCACCGATGAACAGGTCTTCGGCTGGGAGTGTGTGACCGGGTTCTCATTGATGCACGTAGGTTCAGTTATAGCATAGCAGTAGACGGATCTAGGATAAACGAGTATGTGATATGTTCTCCGTTATGTCAGCAAGGTGATGACTTTCACCCTCATCTCCTGCGTCTACGCCTGCGGTGTGGCCAAGCCGGGACATGGCAGCCACACGCCCTTCGCCGTGGGCCTCGCGCTGCTGGCGTGTGCGGGCTCTGGTGGCCAGTACACCGGCGCAGCGCTGAACCCAGCTCGGGTGCTGGGTCCAATGGCGGTCTTCCAGTGTGGCAAAGATGTCGTTGGGCTCTACATCGGAGGCCAATTCGTGGCGGCTCTGCTTGCGATGTCTGTCTTTGCCTTCGTGTCCGGCCTGGGCCCTCTGAACCCATGGCTGGCCAAGAAGGCTCTGAACCTCTCTTGGCCCGAGGCCGTCTACCTTTGGATCACCGGCTCGCCCCCAAGCCGCCTGCAGAAGACAGGCCGTGAGAACATCAACGACTTCGCACATGCTTTTTCCGAGTTCTATGCATCCGAGGGATCCGAGGCACCGCCGCGGTCCAAAATCTTGGACTTCGAGCGCTGCTTTGGTGTCCGGAAGTCTGCGGCCGTTGACACCCAAGCCCCAGACCTTGCCTAAGCAAAGAACCGGCTTACAACAAGTCGCCTATCTTGCTGTTTAATGCCGGAGGGGCGAGTGGAGCACTGTCTCAGAGCCAACTCTCTCTGACGGAATTTCTACCACCCTCCTGACACCCAGAAGCGGTGACAGTTTTGAGGCATCCTTCGAAGTCCTCTACTCTTGTGAGTTTACTGTTTATATTGCTCTTAAAATTCAATTTAAGTCCATCTCCCTTTCTGTTGAGCAAGCGACCGTCTTGTTCCCAGTCATGCACGAAACAGGCTCTCCGGCTGGGGTTTGATTCCCAGCCCACCAAGAGAGAGAAAGCATCCCGACCCTTTGTTCCGGGCTGTGGTGGGAAAAGGGGTTCAAGCGACGCCCAACATGAGCTGCCTCAAGATTGTCCATATGAAGCTGACGAGAAGCCTACTGCGCAGGTGGACTGGCCTTTCTACGTGTGGGAGCGCAACTTCACAGGTGCACACCTCCATTTTACTTCCCGCTTCAAGCGCCTTTTTACTGCGCCCAACCCAGACCCGACTTTGGATGAGGGCGTGCGATGTCGTTTCCGGCCGCTGAAGATGTGGTTGCTGTTTGATGCGTCCGTTCCTGAGGCTTGGGGTCTACAATATTTTCCCCACATACATACGTACGTACGTACATGCACACACACACACAAAATTATACAAGCACTTTACAAGCACGTCAACCCCAGAATCTTAGGACTTAGGAGTCTCGGCTTACCCTCATGGCTCTCGCTCACACTTCTCATCTGATGCGGGCTCTTGCTGCTGGGAGTCTGATTGCCGTGGTTCTGTTATTTGTGTTCGTACTTGTTTGCACGTTTCTTGTCGTTGTTGTTACTCTGGCAGTCCTACTGGTGGCTGACAGATATGATCGTCGTGACGATCCTCACCAGGTATGCTTGGTAATTAAATACTATCACTGTGATGAGTGCTATTCATCTCTCACTCTCCTTGCTGATTGTATCTGTCTTCTGCCCTTACTACAGTACGTTCATTCCTGGCTACTCAACCTGATGTTGAGCTTCGGTCAGCGATGAAGGTCTTGCATCTAGTCCGCCGTCCGTCCCTTTCCTGAGAATTGGACGATTCAGGCATGTCCTGTTCGAAAGATTCGAAAAGGTGTCGTTGCGCTCGCTTGTCAGGTGACCGGAAGCGATTGCTTGATGACTTTGACATACCCAAGGTGCTTGCGCTGGGTCCTGTGGGTAGTTTAGCTGAAGGCCTATACTAAGTCTCGAAACAGAGGTGCCTAGGCCGAGGTCAAGTCTCATGCCATGTGGTGGTCGGAGGATCGCCTGCGAAAGCTGTGGGAATTCCCTGGGCATGTGTTGCTTGGCAGGGTTCTGACTTGCGAGATTACATATGCTTGAGGATTAAGTCAAGAGTTGGAGTTTAAGTTTGGGGTTCAGGGCCATGGGTTTGCATTCAACGTCTATCTGCTTCATCGTCTGCCAGCCGCTCACGGTTTCGGCTGCAGTGGCTCAGTTTATTTTGTGATTCCAAAGCCGTCTTCCCCTTTGCTGCTTCAGCCGACATGCGACCTTTTCTCTCACTTAACAGACCTACTTGAAGGTTCCTATGTTCTCATCACACCAAAGCCGTAGCGACACAACCTTAACATAAACCCTGAACGTTGCAACCCTGCACCTGTATCCATAATCCCTTAGAACCAGCGTCCCTTCTGCCCTCGTGTCAGATCTTCGGGGAGGACCTCTATGACTTGGCGCCAGAGGTGCCATAAGGATGGCTTTCGCATGCTTTCGTATGTGTGCATGTATATGTGTACACAACTGTATGCGCAGTGGACATGTGGTCGTTGCAGCACGTATATCTATACATATGTACATACATACAGATTACGCTCAGCTGGGTCCTGTAGACCACCGACGCCCTTCAGCTATCTTGATGCGGTTGCAGCGCCTGTGTCGATCCAAACTATCACTAATGGTTAGTTGCGTGCTAACAGTGGCAACAGTGGCATTGGTGCGTGACACACCGAATAGCCGAAGTCACAAAACCTACTACTAAACTTTCCTGGTTCATGTATCCTCTGAGGCCGCCATAGATGCCGAATCGCGGGGACCCGTAGACCCTAACCCTAAATCCCGAGTTCCTACATCCCTCCACCGTAAACCCCCTGAACGCCTCAATAAACGCTGAACCCCGAACCCCTGCACCGTAAACCCTGCGCATTGGAGCTTGATGATCTGTTGCAGCTCGGACGACCATGGACCGGCTCGCAGCATCAAGAAATAGAGTGTTCACGGCTAGGGCGCAGGGTTTAGGGCAGCGTCGCTATCATGTTCTTATAGGGCTTAGGGTTTCTGGCTGCGTTCCTCTGATCTTCTTTCAGGGGTTAGAGCTTACGGTTTAAAGGGTTTTGGTTGAATTGGTGAAGATAGTGATGTAACCTACCATGTGCATAGGCGAGTACAATATTTGAATGCTGGAGGCGAGTCTCCATTGGATGCTTCATCTTGAGATAGAGATGCACAGGCACCAGTACCAGAGGATGAGCAGCAACAGTCTGCATAAAGAACCAGTCCTGCCCTTGCTTAGGTTTGCTTAAGATGGTCTATATAAGCCCTAAGCCCAGACTCCTCCTCCCCAGATCTTGTCTCAGTCTCGACACCGACTAACCAGGGGTTTAGGGTTTGGGGTTCTGGGTTAGGACAACCATGCCGGAACAGCCCCGGTCAGTCGAAGTCAGTTGTTCAAATTGGAGTGCTTTCGGGTGGCTGTTAAACCAACAGCAGCCAGAACGCACTCTAAAAATCGATGACACATACAACGGGACTTAACGATTCGTCTTAGGACGTTGGCTTTCTAGGCAAAGTAACGCATAGCCCCTGCAAGTAAATGGCAGAAGATCCCTGGCAAAGAGCCACCATGTACCGGACACAGCATCGCCCTCTTCTTGGCGGCACAAAGCCCGAGCCACGGATTTCTAGAAGGCCCCTCGGGCCTTAGCGCTTCAGTGCTTTCAGACTAGACTTTTGGGGTTTGCAGCGGCTTTCAGGATTGACTTACGGGGCTTTAGCGGGGTTTGTGTATGACTTGTTTTGCCCTCTAGGGATTTAGCATAAAAAGAAGCTAAGTTAAACAAGATTGTTTTGGAGGAGCCGCCGGCTTCGGGTGCCAGCATCTTTGTGACGCCACCTCATGTGTAGACCTTCTAGTTAGGATTTAGGCGTTAGTATTTAGGGTAGGGTTTATGGTTCAGGGCTTAGATTAATTAGGGTTTATTCCATTTGATCTGTTGTACATACAGACCCTGAGCTTTTCCAGCCGAACTCGCTAAACCCTAAACCCGAGAATCCTAAACCCGACGCCACTCTCGAGCGTAAATCCTCCGGATCCCCAAACCGTACACGCCGGCCGAACTCTTAACTTCCGGAGCCATTGCCTCGCAGTTACAGGAGGCTAGGCACCAGCAGACAAAAGAGTCTGGGCGCGTACAGTTGTTGCTTTTTTTAATCACCATGCATTTTTCATTCCATTCACCTACTTACGAACGCCCTCATCTGTCTGTGTACAAAGATGTGTTTTTGTTGAAACGCGTGCCTCTACAGATATGCTATTATACATGTATAATGTATGTACATGCGCAAAGGTGCAACTACACGAGGGCCCTGTGATGTGCAAGCAGGAGATCTACATGTCTTGGGTTTCATCGAAAGAGCGCAAGGCCTGTAGGCGTTTCATAAGACAGTTCGACGTGCTTTCGGCATGATGGGTGGCCAGTGTGGATGGCTGGCAAGCGAACTTCGGGTGGGAAGACCATGTGGCTGGAGCAAGTCTGCAGCTGATGCGATGTTGCTTGAAGCGCTCTGGGCTGGAACGATCTTGTTTCTGAGTATTGGGTGCAGTTACGGGCTTAGCATGAACGAGGCACCTGTCACATGGTGCTTCCTCCCCGGGGAGGCGATGAGCGTGCTAGCAGTCCTCACAGCATGTGCTGTGTTTTCCTATGCTACTTCCTGTTCTCCTGAAGGCAAGGCAGGCGTCCGGAATGACAGCCCGATGAATGAATGCACAGGGGCAGAATCACAGAGTCAGACATGCAAAGGTGCAGTCGTCAGTTTGCTGACCAGTTGCAATGCGCCACTTTCCTCGCTCCCCGACCGAAGTTTCCTTCACGAAGATCCCATGGAGGCGAAGATCCATCCCAAGCCGAAGTCTCACAAAGGAGCTCCAGTACAGCACACCAGTGCCAAGAGCGATGTGTGCGAATCGCTAGAGTCGGTGACGGCTGGAGACTGCTGGGTGTTGGTGGAGTACCCGAGTACTGCCAAAGAAGAACGCCTCAGCACACAGCTTGGCGATCGCGGCTTGATTCAAGAAGGTGCAACCATCAAAGTCGAGGGTGGGGTCGATGTGAGCTTCGCAGATGGCTGCAAGGTCGACGAGGAGGATTGGGTCGATGTGAGCCTCGAAGATGGCTGGACACATGTGAACCCCGACACAGAGGAGAACGGATGGATGATTCTCGGCCTCTAGGCGTGGATCCTCAAGCACAAAATGCCACATGCCACCACAATTCCTGATAGTGAGAGTGCCGGCATCCAGTGTGCGCAAACCCATCAGATGCCTGCGTAAGTAACTTTGTACATGTATACCGATGCACACCCAAGTACCTGCAGCATGAACATATGTGATGCTGATAGGTCGAAGCTTCCAATTCCTGAACCTCAACCTCTAGGCATAAGCCCTCGATCGGCTGCCGGAAGGCTGAAATGCGTTCTTGCAGCCGCTAGGCTGAACGAATGTACTCTCTCTGCACATCATGTATGCAGCATGTACTTGTTGATGTCTATGCTGTATGTATGTGTATGTACACATACAAAAGCGTGCGCACACACACACACACACATTGGTGTGTAGCTCCAGGTGCAGAGAGAGTCATACTGTATTTTCCAGAGGGTTTCTTGAACCCCAGAAGACTTTAAAGCTTGGCCACACGGAAACGCCGTGGCTTAGCACATCTTTGCGCTTGTCGCACTAGCGTCCCTCGGCGCGATGCTGACAGCAGTGGCCCGGTCCCAGCCTTGACAAACTTGAATGGTTCTTACGATACAGCATCTTATTCCTTGGTAGTATTAGGGAGACCCCTTAAAGGGGACCCTTCTGAATGCTACTTGTGGCTCTCTTAAAAGGGACCTTATTGAGAGGGTCTATATCGCCAAGGGTCTCCCTAATCCTAACCCCCACTTATTCATGTATAAGTAGAACAGCGCGCTGCCTGCTTGGCAATAACAAGTAGTTTTCGGCATGTGCACATGGCTGTGTCGGTTTGCGTGTGGTTTGGTGCTCCCTCACGCACACATATGCAAACGTGCGTGTGTGTGTATATATATATGTATACAAAATTAAATACGGTTGGATATGAACATATTGGTGCATACATGCGTATGGTTGCATGTTACTTTAAATGTCTGCCTGTATGCATACCTGCATGCATGTATGTATGTGTGTGTATATATGAATGCTTGTACTTATGTATGTACCTACGTACTGTAATTCAGAAATATCGCGGTCATTTCCCCAGGTCGAAATGCTTCCAATAAGGTTTCTTCGGTTGGGTTCGGCGCTGCGCAGCGTTGCGGGTTGTCGTCTTTTAATTGCACCCGTAATGCATCTGAGCTCTTCGCTCCGTGCAGCAGCCGGACTCGTCTCATGGAAAGAGTGTTAAGTCCTATACATACAACCTTAAACCCTAAACCCTAACCCCCTAAACCCCCAAACCCAAAACCCCTAAAGCCTTAAACCCTACAAGCCAGAAGCCCTCTAAAGCTATAATAAGCCAGAAACCTTGTGAATCTCAATGCCTGCTCCTAGAAACCCTAACCCTTCAACCAGAAAGCCCCACAACGCCCTATAAACCCTCTAGTTGAGCTCTCAAACCTAGGAAACCACAACTCTGAGCCCTATAGCCCCTAAACCCCAAACCCTAAACCCTAAACCCCGAAACCCTAAACTCTAAACCCTAAACCCTAAACCCTAATACCTGCTAAGCACAAAGCCCTGAAGCCCATGAGATCTCTGATCCTGCGCCACAAACCCAGGAACCCCCAACCCGCTTTCCATGGTGTTCCCACATAGACCCGTGATATTTGAATGGAGATCACCAAAGAGCCACGTTCTATCTTACGGAACCCAGGACCATCTCGGAATAGCCCTGGTTGCAATCCTCCCAGAACCCGCCAGCAAAACTGGTCGAGACTGACATTTTCCTTTGGGTTCTCCAGTGGGGATCCTTGAAATGCCGGAGCAGGTGAGCTACCACAATAACAAAACAACAGCAATCACTCTTACTACATTCATACAGACGTCTCTGCCACTGCTAGTTTGATTGTTAAGGCTCTTCAACCCTCATCTTCACGATCACGATCATCGTTGTCGCCAGACTCGTCATATGAGCCGTCAGCGTAAGCAAGCATGCACATCATAGTTATCATCGTCGTCTCTAGATGGGCTCGGATAACTAGTTGTAGACTTCCGCAGGGTCCCGATACTAGCTATACAGTATGTTATACCCTATAGCCCTCGTCTTATGATCCAGGCCAATATACTGCCATCCGCGTCCGGAGATATCGGTAAAAGAGGATCAAGGCCGTATGCCCCAAGCCCGAAAGCAATCTTAACATCTCTAGCACCTGCCGCACTAGAGCGCAAAGCAGAAGACCTTTTGGAAGCAGTGCAATGAAGACAGTGGAGTAAAGGGTTTTGGAGTAAGGTTTGTGCGTGGAATATCGGTTTCGGGGTTGCCGAATGCAATTCCAAGTCAAACCTTCAGACTTCTGCCCGAGAAGGGGTTCTCCAATATCAGCCTCCCTTCCAGCATCCTTGTTATCACTTCCTATAGACACTAGGATTTAGGGGTTGGGTGTTTGATGAAGACTTACGGAGGCGACCAATATAAGATCCCGAAACCCGGCACGACCCTAAACCCTTTATCCGACTTTATCCTGTACCCTAGACCGTTCCACCGTCTCTGCGCCCAGGTCTGCAGCCAAGGACACGCAGGTCTGCAGCCGAGGGGGCCCCGTTTCCATTTAACGCGTTTCGTAGGACGTGGTATTTGGACCCCTGACCCCCTGGTAGTGCAAAGAAAGCCGTGTAAGAAGCTATAGACAGCCTCACCAGATGGCGTCAAAGCAGCCCGTCTAAGGCCCCGGAAACGCCTGACCCTGTAGTTCTATAGAAACCCTTTCAATACGGGTTTTCGTTGCTCTGTAAGAGCCTTGCCATATGCACCCCGCAAGAACTCATAAACCCCAAAAAACTGATACAGCCCTAAACAACCCCTGACTGTAGTTTGCTGAACTGAGAGCCCTTGTGGTGACCTTCCTAAACCCTAAACTGGCCCTAAACCCTAGACCCTAAACCCTGATCCCTGAACCCTAAACCCTAAACCCCAGGCCCGGGCCAGCACTTCCGCGGAACCTCTCGGGCCTCTGACGTTTTCATGCGCGGAGCCCTTGTTCGGGGTGGTGGAGGTTTTGTGATAGACAGGGTCTAGGGTTTAGGGTGTAGGGTTTAGAGTTTAGGGTTTAGGGTTTAGAGTTTAGAGTTGAGGGGTTTAGGGTTTCTTTCTTCGATGAGCTCCCTTGCAACCTCTCGGTGGTGAAAGCTCTATGCAGAGCTCATCCCCAGACCTTCCTTCTACCCTCCATGAAGACCCTAACTACCCATATAGCATTTGGGAAAGACGTGGCCCTGAATTGAGGGTGCAAGGAGGGTCCGGGAGGTTGAGGTTCGTAGGCGCTCTGGGGGTTTGAGGCTTGGGGATTTTCGGGTTTGCAGGGTTAAGGGTTCAGGGAAAAGGGGGGGGTTTTGACTGCCCAAACCACTTAAAAGGCCCTACAACCTTCACCATTCAGCACCCTATAAGCCCTAAACCCTACCTAGACCCTAAACCCCTCAATCCCAGACCGTACTCATGAAGATGCACGGCTTATAAGGTTTCTAGGGCCTCTGCTGGAGGACTTGGGGTTCAAGGGCAAGAACTGTAAACCCTACGTAAAGCCCAGGGTTAGAGGGTTTCTTTGCCATGTACGACTTTCACAAAAAAATCCGAAGCCTGCAGCAGAGACGCGTTTCACGGGCTTCGGACACCGAAGCGTTGAGCCCAGAACCCCCAAATCGGAAGCTAGCGGGCGTTTAGGGTTTTGGGGTTTTGGGTTTTGGGTGTAGGGTTCCTTAAGAACCCCAAGCCGGACAAACCTGACGACAAAAACCCCAACCCAGCCTCGAAGTAGTCAGACCCCACCAAGCTCCAAAGCCCTACATAACCCCATATTTCCCTAAACCCTAAAGTCCATATACCCCTAAACCCTAAACCCAATATAACCCTAAACCACTAAGCCCCATATTGATTTGTTGATTGGTTGGCCTCATATAAACCCTCCACGAGCCCTAAATTTCTTAAACCTTAAAACCTCAACATTTAAACCTAAACCCTAAAGCCAACGCACCGAAGCCACCGCGCCAGGCCCTGACGAGGTGGTCCTGCGCATAGGTCGTCTCTTTGGAGAGGAGCTCGATCTCGGGTTTAAGGGTTTAGCGTTTATGCAGAGGAGCTCGCATTGCTGGGTCATGTCGTTCTGTGTGAGCGTGCATGTGCACCTTCAGCTCTCTGCCTAAACCTAGCCGCCAAGCCCGAAACACAGCTCAAACTCAAGATGCATCAGGAATCCCCTGAACCTTAGACCCCCTGGATTCTTGGGGAGAGGGTTTCGAAGAAGTGAGGAGCTGCTCTCGGATGTGACTTTCGTGGTGCAGAGGGACGAGGACCCTCCTCTGACTGTAACCCAGAGGGTCCGAGTACCCAAATAGTAAGGTTTTGGGTCCCACAATCCATACTCTGAATAGTTTTTGGACCTTGAAACCCTACTATTTGGGTACTTGGACCCGTAGTAATTACCTATCCTATATAGTATAGTTATAGTATAATATGCTCCAAAACCCTCTTCTAACAATGAAGGCCCCTCCATGAGGGACTTTAGGTTCAGGGTTTTCGAATAAGAACTCAGAATTTAGGAACAAAACTTCAGGGTTTAGGAGTAACTAAAATGTTTATGGGTTTCGGAATAAGAATTCAGGATGTAGGATGTAGAGCTTAGGCACTCGCATGTAATTTTATGTTGATTTTATGTGTTATTTCAGCGTTGATAAAGATTCAAAAGGAGGTCTGCAAAGGCTTTATGAGGCTGCACGGGATGAAGGAGGGAGGGGGCAGTAGGATGCATCCCGGCTTATGAAACATGTTTGCAAGCACTTCATAGTAGGCGTTTTTGTTTGTCAAGTCGGGTGCTTGCGGCTCAGAGTTTACAAGTTTGGTGGGTCCACTTCGGAGTAGAGCTTGTCGGTCTGCGGGGGCTCAGGCTGTAGGGATAAGAGTTTAGGCTTGATGATAACTTGCGGTTGGTAAGCCTTGCGGTGTAGGATACTTCGCTTCACAGGATCAGGCATTGCGGTTTTCATGCTTACGCTTTTGC